CCATGAACTTTTTTCTTCAAAACTTTACAGAGTAACATGCAATAGTTCTGATTTCGGCATGGATCATGTGAAACGCTATAGTGGAATGCGTACGAAAAATGATTTGCGAACGAGATACCTTTACCAAATTTATGCGTTTTTATCAATCTGTAGTCGAAATTGTGCTTGCAAATTTCGTGGATTTTGGATTCTGTTGATCCGTGCCACATTTCAACTTCACATTCTTCTCCATTCATTTCAGATTTCTTCAAATTGTACAGAGCAAGTATATAGGGATTATACACTTTTTCAATCGATACTATAACCGGATCACCAACTTTTCCATCCGTGATTTCCAATTCGTCTTTAATAAAATCGTATTTACTGTCAGATTTATCTACCTTTGATAGTGTATACACTTTATTCAATGAATTCGGCTCTTCATAACCGAAAGCAAGTGACATATGCTTAATTACTTCATCATTTCTTTTCACCTCCATGGCTTTGCACAAACAACAATTTATTTACACAAAAACTGTATGCATACGCTTAAATCTGTATGTGTCGTGCTGAAACTTTCAAACGTAATAACATAGTTTATACTGTGAGAAAATGATTTTAAATAAATGTAATCTTAATATTGCGGTGATATTAAATTACCATTTCCATACTACTATGCTTATCTGCTCGCCGCAAAATAAAAACAGGGGATTCCCCGGATAAAAACATACACATCATCAAGAACATTATAATTGCTTATCAACATACATACATGTATGTACCGCGATTAAATTTAAGTATTGTTAGTTGTAAAAGCATTTCAATTGATTTATATATTATATATTATTAGGGGCGCTCAGTAAATGCATTGAACATCAGCATATTAACAAAGGGGATACAAAATTATAATGAATTGTCCATAGACATCAAGGGGACACAAATAGATATAGTCAAAAACAAATTGCAAAAACATTATAACAACATTATAAACACTTGAAATACTAGTTCCACGGAATCTGAAGAACTACTGCAAAGGAGAATAAATAAATTTAAAAAATATGTGTTTGGACAATTTTGTATTTGGAGTACTCAGACAAATTTTAACTTAATTTATTGTTATTAATAATAAATAATAATACTTCCTGCGTTCCAAAATAAGTGTCTGATTTTAGTTTTTTTTTTTAAATAAAAAAATGAAATGTATCAGTAGTTATTTATTTAAATTAAGCAAGTAAAAAGTGAATCTACTAGCCGCCTGAAGTTTGTGATATCTCAAATTAGTGTTTTAAGTGAACAAGTAAAATTTCGTAACAATTGTTAGTTTAGATTTTTACCCGCTGACAATTTGTTTAAGGTTAATTATTACGGTCGCCATGGGAAAAACTACCCGAAAGGTATAATTGAATTGACCATGCTTTATAAATGAGGCAACGATTACATGCTTCCTGACATGAGCAATGCAATGTAGTTTGTTCCGAACCCGAAATTCAAGTAGAACGTCTAGAACTTGACGGCTTATTAATTATTAGTTACTAATTTTTAAATGTTATTCACAAGTATTAATTTTCAAATATTTTCCATTTTATGTTATAGTTTATTATGAAAGTCCTCCTCCACAGTTAATATATATTCTGTATCGTTTAACACGTGAAATGGTACATATTTAACCATTGTTATATTCTGTTTTCATTTACAAAGCCGTCAAGAAATTACCTGTCTTTGTAATAATCTCGTGAGTCGCGAGGCACAAGAAATGCATGATGCTTGTTGCAGCTAGATTAAGGTTGATGGAGAGATAGAGAGAGTTAGTTTGTTTATCGGAGAGAGAAAGAGATGAGTGCAATATTAAAGGAGATTAGCTTTAATTAAATTAAATTATATGCGCCCGTTCATCAAAGGGCTAGAGAGACGGTAATATCGAGCAAGGAAATCCGACCGTTGCTAAAATGTTTACGTTTCGTTCTCGCAATAATTGCGTAAAGGCGTAATTAAAAAGCATTTGATTCAAAGGCCCTTTAATAAATAACACTCAAACAAAATGCGAGTAGCTAAGAAAAACATCCGTATTTATTTAAATTTCTTGCATCGAGGAAAATACACTTTTAAGCAAATTGCAACATTTCCCGATCGGAGAATGTTAATGAATGATCCGGAAATGTTGATTTTTCATTAAATTATAATTACAAATCTTGGTCTGTTTAACTTGTCTGAAGTGCAGGACTTTAAAATCAACGTACTTTTTTCTTCTTGAAACATCCGAGTTCAGAAAGTACAGCAACATTCGACTTATTGCCAGAGATGTTGGCAGGTTGTGAATAAATAATAAAAGTTATAAAAAAAAGAAAGTACAGTCATATCTCGATTAACTTGCATTTCAAGAAACTTCTTCGTTAATCGAAAGTTTATTTTCAGCGGTAATCATATTATAGAATACGTTCTTTCATAATGAAAATAAAAGGCTTTATTTTTCGATTAAGGGAATGTTTTATTAAAGAAATAGTAAAATTAGATACAAAGTGAAATCACATTTTAAAATATAGCCTTCTTCTAAACTGATGAAGGGATCATTTTCTGATATCTTCGATTGCTAACAAGGTTTTCTAAATCTTCATCTCAAAAACCAATTAATTTCTAAGATTTTCTTCATAGACATTTCGAAATTTTTGATAAAGTCAACGAGGATAACTTTATTTTTAATTTCTTCTTGTAGTGCCATATTTTGTTGGATATTTGTCAGAACATTTTTCATGTTAACTAGAATTTTAAAATTTGCGGACTTCATTATATCAAAGCTTTATTATTAAAAGTAATATTAGCCGAGGTATGACTGCATAACGAAGCAACAGATACAATAACATAAACATGACTTTGCATGAAACAACACTAAATAAGAAATGAAAACAAACAGCAAAAGTTTGTTTTTATTTGTGCATATATATTTTTTTGTTTTAATTTGAAGAGGAAAAACAAAAGCTCGGCCGACTTGATGATGTACGTAACATGCTCGAAATAAGCTTCTTTGTTTACTTTCTCCTGTTCTCTCGCTCTTGTTTGTTTCGCGCTGTGTGTGATATTCCGCGCTGCGTGTAAACACGATGGGAAAGTTTTAATCGCCTTTGGGGGATCGCCGTTGGTGACGTTAATTGGAGCTTGATAAATTATTTTATAATTAACGGAGTTCGCGAAAAATTTATATTAAAGGATACCACTACCAACTTGTTTTTTGGAATTTTGTTCGTTTGTTCCTACTCTGATGTAGAGTAGAAAATTTAACAATAATGAATTACTTTTAACATAAATGAATATTATTTGATGAATTTTACACGAAAACAATTTAAAATCAAACTAGAAATGATTATCGTTTAACACAGAAAAGGTTGAAAATAATACATAAAAAATAGGCTTCATTCTTTATTTTAGATAGATTTCTTTCATCATTACATACAAATTTCACAGAATATAATACACCTATCCCTAGTTGTGTACGATACTGTCTTTACACGTTTTCGATTTTACACGGTTTAAATAAATTAAATTTAAAAAATATATAGAAATTATCGTTAATTTTTTTTATGTCGTGTAAATTTTATCTTATAATCTGTTCATCAATGTGAATATTGAGTAAATTTACGATCGTGGTTAACATTAGGTATGTAATCTTTCCCGGTGGATAGTTTTACCATTATGATGCTTAATTTCTTGGTTGGCTGTCGTCTTGTAGGTTAACTTCAGTAGTATATTGATACTCTGCGATTCCACTATTTCCTTTCACTGTGAATCTGCTGCTATCCTTAACACTGTCATTGTCCATCGACAGGTCCATATGCTGAACCTCATTCACAATGGCCCTATTGCTGCAAGCACCGAGAGGGCTTACAAAAAGGCCTGGCTTTGACCAGGATTCGAACTGGCCCTATTATCGTTAAATAAGTAACAATTGCGTGTTACACACTTTTCTCAGGAACTTATCTACAATGTAAATCGGGAGAACGGTGTACTGGTACGTTATATTTAAAGTTTTTTTTTTTCTTGAAAATTTAAATTCTAAACATTCTGGATCAACAATTATTCTTGTTTTAATTCCAAAAAATGATTTTTAGTGTAACTATATTATGAAATAGAAGCGGTTGGTTAGGACTTACAGCTATAACTCACACAATGTGGTTAATCGATTCTGCCAATATCCCGCACTATTTGAAACCGTGCTAATTAAGGACATAAAAACCTAATTTTTACTAGTACTATTTTTTGAGAATTAATTTTTGGTTGCTTCAATTACAATTTACTTTGTTTTGAAAATTTCAAACTGAACCACAGTGGATCCGCATTGATCCACTATAGTTACCCTGTTTGTTGTATATTTTTATAATCATAATTAATGTATAATCCGTGTAATCCGTTCCTGAATACTAAATAATTTCTTATTAAGTTTCATGTATTAAAATTGTATACAGAAACAATGAAAATACATCAAATTTTAAATAATATTACACAAAATTAACACAAAAAAAATATAGCAAAAAACGTTAGCTTCCGGAAATATATTCAACAAGAGTAATATACGTTTATCTGTCATATATATATTAGATAACTAAGATAATAATAATTGAAGAAATGCGCGCTGTGAAAATTTATCATTAAATTAATCGTTATTATTATTTTATGTATTTTATGAGAGTAATGAATGTATGTATAAAATATATTGCAAATTTATGAAAATGTAACTTTAGCAGGAATAACAAGTTTGTCATCGAGGAACTAGTTGTTAAAAGTATTAATTAATTTCAAGTTTTTTTTGATTCATTATAATTGTGAACGATATACGACGATTAATAATAAAATTTATTGCAACAATCACACAATAATTATAGACAACTGATGACAATAGCAAAATATATCCATAAAATAAAATACACAGACACAAAGTACAGAAAATATATTGTATGAATGATTGCAAAAGTATATGAAATAAGCGTAACACAATAAAAAAAGTGTGTTTATCAAATAAAATAAATTACACATATATTTTTGATTTTTTATAAGAATAATGAAATTAAGGTAATACATTTAATGATAAACTAATAAGTTTTTATAAAAAATATTTAGTTCACAGAGACAAAAATAGATTTGTTTATTTTATTTTAATAACATATTTATTAGCCACACTTACGACCGAAAAGTTTTTAATTTCATGTTTTATTCAATATTATACTTCCATAGATATATTTAATACTTGCAATATTAATGTATTAATGTAATATTTTAAGATTCCATAGGTTAGTTTTTCATAACTATTTCAATTGTATTATATTCATTATTTCTAATTTCCGGATTATAGACTCCATATTTAGTTCTTAGAGAAGCGAGTGAGATTAAAATACATAATTTATCCTGTGATGGAATATTTTTTATCTGAAATATAGGCATCCCCTGCCCAGTGGCGCGTTTCCGCATAAGCTCAGTTGGCGCGCGCCTTGAGCCTTTTAAATCAAGTTGCCTCCAAAACTTCTTTTTTTACACGTCAATTATCAAATTACATTTGATTTCCTTATTTGGTAAGAAATCGAAAGGAATTCTAAGAAAAATTGCG